GGAAATATTTGGTGGATGTCGCAGAGGTGCTGAAAAGATACTTAATCACCTAACAAAGAGTTAACAGTAATTTGCTGTAATTGAGAATCATACTCAACTGATTGGTTGTTTAAAATGTGGGCCATAGCTCTGTTGTTTCACAAAGCAAAAAAAAAAAACCATTAAAGTTGTTTACAAACATATAATTGATGTATTTTATACTTTATCTTTTGTTTAAAAAAAATTAACTGTATGAACAGTGATTTTTTATAACTGAAAGCCCATCCTCAACTAATGATTAGTAGTTTAAAAGATAGGATAGAGCTGTATGGTCAAAAACAGGAAAAAAAGCTACTGGCTATTTCCAAAAATTAATTTTAATATAATTTATATATTTTATAATTTATAAATAATTATTATTTATAAAATAACCCATTAATTATTTTACCCTGCTTGTTTAGGATTGTTTTTGTTTTGCATGTTTAAAATAAAAAGTTTATGTTAGTACATTAACATATTAGAGAAGTGTGTATGTGTATGTGTATATGTTAAGTTGAAACTATAAAACCTTCTGTGTACCAAAGTTTCTATTTATGTAAGGAGTGCCCAGTCTTTGTGGGTATGAGATCTAAATACATCTCTGAATCGTATTCCAGGGCTATGATCTAAAGGGGACATTTTTTTAAAAAAATAATAACATAGAATGACAGAGTTAGAAGGGACCTTGAAGATCTTCTAGTCCAGTGGTGGCGAATCTATGGCACGGGTGCCAGAGGCAGCACTCAGAACCCTCTCTGTGGGCATGCGTGCTGTCGCCCCAGTCCTAGGCCTTCAGCTGGGTTTTATAAAACCTTTTCGCTTTAGGCCTCTGCCGCCGTGTGAAAAAAAAAAAGTTCAATCAGTCAATTTCAACTTCTCGCGGGAAAAAAAAGATCTTGCAAAGTTGGAATTGATTGAACTTTTTAGTCCCACCCAGTCTGCCGTTATCACTACAGCCACGCCCACCCAATGGGCCACACCCAGCCAATGGGCCACACCCAGTCAATGGGCCACACCCACCCGGCACTCAACGATGCATAAGTGGGTTTTGGGTTGCAGTTTGGGCACTCAGTCTCTAAAAGGTTCGCCATCACTGTTCTAGTCCAATCCCCTGCTTGAGCAGGAGACCCTATACCATTTCAGACAAGTGGCTGTCCAGTCTTTTCTTAAAAGCTTACAGAGACGGGGCACCCACAACTGCTGAAAGCAAGCCTGGTTAATTGTTCTCACCATTGGGAAATTTCTCCTTAGTTTTTGGTTGCTTCTTTCTTTGCTTTATACAATGTGTTTTATTTTGTTGTTAGAACTGAATTATTGTTGGTTATTGAAGATGTACAACACCCAAGTCTTTTGCCCAGTGGACTGGAAGAAAGAAGAAAATAAGCCTATTAGCTTTAGTTACTTTTAATAACATGTGCTGATAGTGATCCTTATCCATTCACAAGCCATGACCGGTTCAAAAAGTTATATACTCTTTGAAGAGGTTGCAAAACCTGTGGTAGGAAGGCTTCCGTTAGGTTTCCCTTATTAAGAGAATACCCCGGTGTAACCATCAGATGTAGAGAAGTTGGGGAAGAGGATCAATAGATGTCAGAAGTACTTTGGTAAAAAGGCTTTGGTTCAGTTGACTTCACAATACTTACAGCTTGAGTCAATTCAACTTTGTAAAATTGATTGCCTAGGATGATCTGGCTGTTCTTACTGCATGATTTGAGATCATTTGAGATAGCTCTGCAAACAAAAACAAAAAAAAGGTTGTTGCTGTTGCATTGTTAGAATAAGATTTGGGGAGAAATTTGTTTTATCTTACTGTAGAAAGATAGTACACCCTTTGAGCACACCCTGATTGATAACAGTAGAGGGATTTCTTTCTTTTTTTTAATAACATGGACTTATGGAAGTGTTTTCCTAACATGTTACAAACACTTTAGGAAAAACTGTTAAAGCAATTTTTCATAAGTTTAAATACCCTTTCTGCATTACTCTTTACAACTAATAATTTTTATCCTCACAGATTTCAAAGATCTTTACAATCTTTAACAATTACTTAGACTAGTGCTGTTTGGTGTAAATTAAAACATGATGTATTTATACACGATAATCATCAATTGTATTAAAAATGGGGCAATATCACAAATTGAATTTGTCCCAGAATTGCCTTTCATTTGCACTGTATTGTGGGAGTAATTCCACAAAATTGTTCAAGGTTATCCCAATGAAAAGGCAAGTCAGTGGCTGGTGTTCTATGTAGAGTATGATTTGATGCATTTCCATTTTGGCACATTGCTGAAAATTCTTATGCTAGACTGTTTCCTATATGAAACAAAGATACCGTACTGTCAGCAACTCTGCTGTGTGAGTAATTGAGCAGGTGTTCCAAGGATGTAATTTCTCAGTTGGAAAAGAAACTTCAGGAGTTGGCAGTGAAAGCTTATTGGAAGGCTGTGGCAATCTAACTAGAAGATTACATATCATTCTTGGAGAATCTTTGTAGAAAAAAATTAGTTGGACTGGGATGCAAGAAACTAAGGCAGAGACCACAGCCATTAGGTACCAAGGACTCTCCACAAAAATGAATGGGATCATATCCTGTATGTCTCTCTGCGAGTGCTTAGAAAAAAGTCGGAGTCATTTTATAACTGCACTATCAAAGTTTTATTCTCTTTTTACATATACAGAGCTTTGATCATGCAGTTGACGTGATCATCCAACATTTTTGTCCCATCCTCCATACACATTCTTGAAATCCGATAAAATACAAAGCAAGATTCCAAAAACAAAAAACTAGTAGAAACATACAGCACAACCATCACATTATGATGAAGCAATTCCCAATTGTACATGTGGAATGAGGTGATTTCTCACTAATGAAGGCAAATATACCTGTCCCAGGATAAAGTTGCAAGATCCAATCTGGATTAGTCACCAGGACCAGAGATTTAGTTTTTGGAACTTTCGGACTCATTCTGGAGCCCATCCTCGGGGAACTTCTCTCTACCAGAATGTGTGCTTTGGACTATTCTATGCATCACATGTGGTGCCTTCCTATTGGTTGATTGCTGTGTTGATGGCTGGTGATTGGCTGCTATTTCCTTGTGTTGCCAAGTCCAAGTTTTGATTTCTACTCCTGTCTTGTTTCCAAATAGAAAAGTGAGACCTTTATACAAATCTGCCTGTTTTGATGCACCAGAAAAATAATGTTAAGAAATGGCCTAATATGGAAAATCTAGGGACCTTGAAAGGCAATATTAATTAATTTAAAATATGGAAAATTGCAGTAATTTGGGGGTATTTCAGTAATACTTCTTCACCCATTTGTGCATTTCAAACATTAATGATACAACTCTAGTCTAGTGTGCTCAAAATCATTACTGAAGTCAGTTGTGCACCTCTCAGGTTTCAAATACATTTTTATAACAAAAATAATTAAAGGTGGAATCCCATTTAATGAATCTATTGTTTGTAAATCTTGTCTTTACCAAAATGTAGACTAGTGTTAGTTTTTACATTATGGTATAAATTTAGAACATTGTACATTCATGAACTGTCTGTTGAATCAAATCATAAGTCGATAAGTCACACCTTTTTTGGTTATTATAAGTTTACCTAAGTCTCAGTTAAACTAAGTCAAGTTACGTAATTTACGGAGACAAGTAAGTTTATACCGTATATAATAAGTTTCAACGAAACCAACAGAAAGAGACTCTTTTGTGTATTGAACTTTTTCAGTACACTAAACTTAAATAACCCGTCATAAAAAAATAATACTTTTTTCATCTTATCTTCTTTCTCCTCCTGAAAGTGATGGTATTTCATCATGCTTGCTTTTCTTTACTCCCATGGTTAAATGATTTTACTGAGATCAACAAGTTCTGTTACAAATACAAATTGGTTCTAAGTTATTTTAATGTTGATATCTTTGAAAATACAGTAAATGGAAATATATATATTATGTAAACAAGACGTAAAAATGTTGTTTCCATTATTGTGTGAAAATTTCATAGGACAGTTGAGAAAAAAATCCATCAAAGTTTGAAAACTGAATATGTTGGCAATTCAATTTGTATGTTTTCTCTTATTCCGTGGTAGAGGCATACATAGGATCTGATGTTTTCATCAAAATGAAGAAAGTAGCATTGTTACATCATGGCAACATTCTGTCCCTTTCAATGATGCACATATAAAAAGAGATGGGATAATTGCATTGTAACAGTGCTGCTCTGAGACATGCATGCAGTCTTGTGGATACTTCTATAGATCATCTGAAGGTCCATATCCTGAACTGTATAGGTAAAGGAAGGGTTGCATCTTGTGTCAAAAGTCCATGGTTGGGTCTGAAAGTCCATGGTTGGATTGTGCAAATCCAACCATAGCTGAGAAAATCCTTGCTTCAACCATCAGAGAACCACTGGCAGTTAGTGTAAACAAAAGTGAGATAGATTTCATTTCATTTTCATTTTATTCAATTTGTATCCCGCCCTTCTCCCGAAGGACTCAGGGCGGCTCACAACATTTTTTAAAACAGAAACAAACCCACAATCCCCGCCGAATAAAACCAATTAAAACCCAAATATTTTAAGTTGTGACATTTAAAATTTTCTAAAAATGAACCCGATTTAAAATCCACCCTAGGCCAGGC